CCTATTCTTATTCCTTTTATTTTTTTCTCTTGTCTAATGGTTGTAGCTAAGGATTCCAGAACTATATTGAGTAGGAGGGGTGATAGAGAACATCCTTGTCTTGTACAAGATCTAAGATTAAAAAATTTCAGTTTTTCCCCATTAAGAATTAAGTTAGCCATTGGGTTTTCATAAATGGCTTTTACCACATTGAGGTAGAAGCCTCTATTAAAATTTTCTGTAGGACTTAGGACATGAATGAGTGTTGGACTTTGTCAAAAGCATCTTCTGCATTAATTGAGATGATTATGTGGTTTTTAGTCTTCTCGCTATTGATGTAGGGTATTACATTTATAGATTTTCAAATATTGAACCATCCTTGCATCCCTGGGGTGAATCCTACCTGGTCATGGTGTATGATCTTGATGAGATGCTGTATTCTATTTGCTGAGATTTTATTGAGATTTTTTGCACCTATGTTTATGAGGGAGATTTGCCTGAAGTTCTCTTTTTTAGTTGTGTCTTTCCTTGTATTTGGAATCAGTATAATACTTGCCTCCAGGAATGAATTAGGGAGTACTACTTCCTTTTCAAGTTCATGGAAGAGTTTGAGGAGTATAGGGACTACATCTTCTGTAAATTTCTTGAAGAATTCAGCTGTGTATCCATCCAGACCTGGACTTTTCTTTGTCGGTAGGATTTTTGTTACATCTCGTATTTCATTGACTATTATTGGGTCATTGAGAATGGTTATATCTTGTTGATTCAGTTTTGGTAATTTGCACCTTTCTAGGAATATGTCCATTTTGTCTGTGTCTTCTATTCTGTGAGAGTAAGATTCTCAAAGTAGCTATTGATAATCATCGAATTTCTACTGGGTGTGGTAATTACAAACATCTTAGGCATAACACGGAACAAGTAATTCCTGTGGTAATTCTTTTCTTTCCTTATTGCTTGTATTTGAATTTTTTCTTTACTTTTTTGATGGAGTTAGCTAGGGGCTTATCAAATTTATTTAATCTTTCAAAGAGCCAGCTTTTTGTTTCATTAATTCTTTGAACTCTTTTCTTCCTCTCAATTGAATTAATTTCTGTTCTAATATTTAAGATTTCTTACCGCCTTTTGCCTCTGGGTTTGGTTTGCTCTTCCTGTTCTAGTGGTTCGAGGTGCAGCATTAGGGTGTTTATTTGTTCTCATTCTGTTTTCCTAATGTATTTGTTCCCAGCTATGAAATTCCCTCTGAGAACTGCTTTCATCATATCACATAAATTCCGATAAGTTGTGCTTGAATTTTCATTGAATTGTAGATATTGTTGAATTTCTTGTTTAATTTCATCTGTGACCCATTGGTTGCTGAGTAG